ACTATATTCACGACTGGAAAATAAAAAACATACGTAAAATACCCTCGTTACATTTTTCTGAGAGATTACACGATTACACAACAAACTTGAACAAGGCACAAGCCTCCCAAATCTTATCTCTCTAACATTTTATTGGACAACCGCGCACAGTGCTTTTCGGTTACTTTGTCAGTGTATCCATGTATGATTACTATGGAGGAAAAAAACACATGAATAAAGAATAATAAGAACATTCTAACAGATTAAAAGTGTACACCAAAATGGTGCAATATTTACCAGCTGTAAACAAGCACTATAATAGTCACCTTTATAGAGATTACTGACAAAATAACAATAGTAATCAAATATATGTAATTATGTCACTATTTAAACTTGTAACAAAGGCTTTTATGATACTATTAGCAGTAAATGAGCAACTCCCATAAAATATGACTTAATATCACCCTGATAAGAGTTTAAGTACATATAACCATTGTTATGTGAAGAAAAACACAGTATTTTTAATATGTGACAACCTGACAGAATTTAATTACCACACCTACTTCAAACTATTAGCTGTTTCATTCAAACCTGAAAAAATAATATTTATGTGGCTATTGAGAATCATTATGATTGATGCAGCCTTTTGTGTTACTCCCTTTACAGTCACTTGCATTTGTTATTATTAACAAGGAAAAATGAAAGGGGAAATGTGTGTTTTTGTTTTGCAACAAAGCTTTTCTGATGATGACTAACTTCTTCCTTTGAACACAAAAAGCCAGTTTAACTAATGTACTTATAAATATGTTCTTGACAGTGTGAGCTAAGCAAGGAAAGGAAGAAGAAAACAAAACGCCTGTAGGACTTAAGCCAGAATTAAAAGCAACCCAGGCAAGATGAGTACATGAAAGCTGTCAGGATGGTTGTTATTCTTATTCTCAATTTCTTACAGCTTATCTGCTCTCAAGGAAGAAAAATCGTAGTTTCTTTTAACCATATCCACAAACAGATCTCACTTGAAAGGAAACACAGCAAATGATTTGGCATGAATGGGCATATTACCAATTTTCCAGCATCACTGCTGAATATTTATGTCGGTGACGAATGATGACACTGGTGAAATATTTTAACACGAAGCCTTGCCTTGTAAATCGTCTGAATGATGCTGTGTCAAAACAACACCTACCATAAATCAGAGGTTTTAGGACCAGTATTTCTTGTTCTAACATGCTACCTGCTCAGCAGAATCACTTGTGTGAACAGGCATAGATTAATGTGTGCTAAGCAAAGCCATCTTACCTTCTAACTTATAGAGCTATAATTTAACAGGTCTATTATCGTCAAGGTAATTTTGACAGTGCTGAAATATTATACTTGTTAAAAATATGCATTTAGCACTAACTCCAGTGGTCATTTGAACTGAACAGACAGATAGGTATCCTTACAATTATCTTTCTTCTCTACTGATGACTCTCTTTTTCTGGCAAGGCAGCTGTATGTTGACAATTGATTTTATAAATAGCATAGCAAGACAGTTTCTCTGATAGTGCAAAAAGCTCACCATGCTGCTTCCAATGCACTTTTCACTCATCCACAAGGTATTTATTTAGCAACTTATAGTGGATGTTAAGGAGTCCATTTCCAGGATGAAGAAACAGAACAACAGTTCAAACCCCCTACCACCCTCCGCTCCTACACAATACACATCCTAACCCCGAGTATTCTGGATTTGTGAAATCACCTAGAACCTCACTTCCCACTTGGGAAAGTTGGAAATCTTACTCCTTGGGGCAGTTCTATGTTTTTGATTCGGAAACATACAAGAAAATGTCTCTCTTAACCCCAGTGCAAACACTCCTTTTTCATGTACCTCAATGGGTACAAGGACCTTCCACCAGATGAATAAAAAGGGCAAAAGACGTTAGCACGTTTCTCTTTTTATAGTGTTTTAGCCCTAATGCAACTTGATCTATGTAGCAAAAAATAATATAAATTTGCATTTTTTTAATACTAGATGCATAAATAAGCACGCACACACACACACACACACACACACCACTGCAGAAAAGTCAGTCTTGTGAAATGAACATACTGGCCCCAGCCCAATATTAATTTTGCACTTCCCTCCGAGAATAAACAAACACATCATCTACTGACACCGGCGGCTCAGTTCTCAAAGCCAAATTAACAAATTGAAAGCAAATAAACAAATATTTGTCTGGAATTCATTACAGTCAACATACATGGCCAAGTGTTATGTCACTATAATTAGGCATGAAAAAAGAAAAAGAAAAACAAGACAACTATCCACTCATCTTGCCTGCAAAACAAAGGGTGAAATTCCAGAGACTTGATAAGAATAAAATGTCTCTGATGGCGTGGAAGAACACTGAAGAAACCGTGGTCACACGTCTCCCTAAACTCAAGTTTGACTCAGGTCATACAAATGAGCATATTCCACCCTTTAGGATTTAAAATATATCCAGTCAAGATGTCAGCAGCTGCCTATTCCAGTTAATAAGGGAGAAGGTGTCAATTAAGAAATCCAAGTAACCTTGTTTGAAATACTAAACTAGATATTCTGGGACAACACTGTGAGTAATTTTTTATAAACACAAAGAGTTTAACGTTTCAAACATAATAAACTACAACAATGCTTTTAAAATGTCTTATCAACACTACAGACTACAAAGAGCTAAGCTATAAAAATGGAATTTCCAAGAAAGCTTTCAAAGAAAACAACCAGGTTTTGCAATGAGGGGCTCTTCCACGCTATCCCTGGGATAAAGTAGATCACACTGCCCTCTAGTGCCAGACGTAAGCAACAAGCCGAATTCAGCCCATGCAAGGAAGACGCGATTTACATTTAAAACAGAAAGCATCTCTTAATTTCTGAATGACTTACTGCTGACCTGGGATTTGTGTTACCATGTATTATGGTCTGCTAGAACTGAAAAGGGGTTGCGATGACAAAGGATGACTAGGAAGAGGCACAGCCGGCAAAAGGCACAGGGACACAGACCACTCTACAAGACACTATTCAACTCAAGCTGCAATCAAAATGAGTGGGGACAGTCAGGGCAGCTGAAACTGTGCGGCTCCTTAGTGGACATACAACACTGTTACCGAAGTCCATCTCAGGAGAAAAGAATGAAAAACAGAGATGGGCGACAGCAAGGAAGGTAAGAAGGAAAAGAAAACTAGCTTTTGCCATTCGAAGGCCTCACATTAGTACATTAGTTGATTCAAATGTACCCAAATAACTAACTTATCAGGTTATGAAAGTTCAGCAGACACATTATATAGATAACAAAACTAGGTAAACTTCATGCAACCACCTCTGGGTTCAAAATGAAGAGCAACACAGTCCTTCCCGTAGCTTGGAGCAATGGCCCCTTCTTACAAATCAGCATTCTGAAATGGCTGAACTTCAGAGGAACTTTGGTACCGAGATCTCTGTGCTTCCCAATCTCCCTTGCCCTTCTTACATCCAAGTCAGTGAACCTGGGACTCAGGCAGGGCAGTCGGTGGGTGTTTCAGGACCCGGCCCTGAAGGCCGGGTTCTCTGTCTAAATGCACAGCATCCCCCACTGATTATGAGGATGCATGAGGATCTGGGAGGAAATACCAGAAGGGAGGCTACACATCTGGGGTGAGAGCACCCATGAATGAGTATCAACGTTGCTACGATCCAGATCGGGTCGCTGAGAATGTTCTGGCAGAAGCAGGAACTGGAGGTGGGCACAGAAGGGGATCTGGCAAGGCCTCCACAGACCCATGCTGGGCTGTTGTTTGGGCAGATCCTGTGGGCCCCTGCCTGGGGTTTCTGGCTTCAGTACCAGTCACCACTCAAGTCTAGCTTGCTAAAAACTAAAGACAGTCCCTAACCTACAATGGCTGGACTTAGGACTTTTCAACTTACAATTTTTCAATTTTACAATGGTGTGAAAGCTGTAAATATTCAGTAGAAGCCATAATCTGGACACTGACCTTGTACCTTTTCCCAGGCTAGCGACACACAGTACACGATGCTGGGTAACAGCAGCGAGATGGTTTTGCCCGACTGCAGGCCAATGTGAGTGTTCTGGGCACATTTAAGGAAGGTCAGGCTGAGCTCCGGTGTTTGGTAGGTTAGTCGTAGTAAATGCTTTGACTTGGGATAGTTTCAACTTACATGGGTTTATTGAATGTGATCCCATAAGTCAAGGAGCATCTTTACACACTGACAAAAGGCTTCACTGGGCCCTCCGTTTCCTAAAATCTGGGAGGTCGCCAGGACTGTGAGCTGATAGGAAACTTACTGACCCCTGGGTCTCCCTGAGAGCGTGTTTTGAATGGCCAAGTACTGTCCGGTCGGTGTGGCTCAGTGGTTGAGGGTCTACCCATGCACCGAGAGGTCGCCGGTTCGATTCTCAGTCAGGGCACATGCCTGGGTTGTGGGCCTGATCCCCAGTGGGGGGCAAACAGGAGGCGGCCACTCGATGTTCTCTCTTGTCAATGTTTCTATCTCGCTCTCGCTCTCTCCCTTCTTCTCTCTAAAAATCAATTAAAAAAATTTTTTTTGAATGGCCACATTATGCTGAGTACTTGTACACACTTCATGGAACTTAAAACTTGAGCAAATCTACCTCTCTACTCTAGAGGAGAATTTTTAAAAATATTGTATACCCATTAAAGTGCACAATGATGTCAACGATGAGGCATAAGTCATAGTTTTGGATTGTTCTTCCCATTGTAAGAAGTACAAAAATGTTATACAAATGGAAGTTTAAAACCTGCCTTATAAAAAAAGTTTTTTCTTTTGTTAAAAGCACTCTTTAATCTAGCACTCAAAGAGTAAATAATTCATGGCCCCTCAACATTTTGGGCAAAGTAGGACTATCTTTGGAGTACCTACTTGGGCTTCTATTTTCCTGAAGGAACCAAGTCCTGCCAACAGATGGAGGAGGGGAGGCGAGATAAGCGCCCCTGTGCGGCTCTGAGATTAGCAACCTCAAAGATTCCCTCGGTCCCAAGCCCTTGAATGATAAACAGACCAGCACGTGGAGAAGCCTACCCGTCTTGAACAGGACATCTGGTTAACTGCGGTCGCAAGCATTTAGAGGCGGTGATAACAGAAATTCAGTCCCATTTAACGCTCCAAACTTTATGACCGTAGTTTTCAAATTAACTGGCAGAGTGGAGCGCCTCGACAGCTGGCATGGCAGCCCAGTCCTCCCATCACTTCTAACTACAGCTGTAATAAGACTGTAGACTTGTGTGGGCCTCTGCAGTTTACAGTTCTTGGTGCTCCCCATGGTGTCTGGACTGAACGACGTTTACTGACTAACTCTGCACAGGATGCTTTCCGGAGGAGTGTTGTTTAGTCCTCACAAGGCTGGAGAAACAGGGTTACAGCCGCGGTTACTTCCATCAGAACTTCTCCTGAGGAAGTTCTGAGATGTCGTCACGGTCGAGATTCGTCGGGCACTGGCCGTCTCCTAAGCACTGTGAAACATCAACCTGTTTAATTCCCAGGATTTCTTAACAAGGTAGGTGTGAATGGCAGCCTCATTTTACAGAGGGGAAAATCCAGGCACAGAGAAATGAAGTAACGAGCACGTGAGTATTAACGTAACTATAACCAGCCATTACGTAGTAACTAGCACCAGGACCAAAGCCAGGCAGCTGGCTCTACAGTCCATACCTTTAACCACAACGACATCCTGCTTTGATATTTGCCTGCCCACCAGTAGCTACCTGCTCTGGCCCGGATCACATGGCAAGTTAACAGCCAGACCAAGGTGACTCCTGTGCTCCCTCCAACCCATCTCCCTGCAAAATAGACGAGTTCTATTATTACTATTCCTGCAAAAACAAAGCCACCCTGGGCTTCACCACAAGTCTAACCAACTGAACAGAGTGGGGATATATGCTGATGATCTAACTCTTCACAGGAACCCAGGCCAGGAGACACCTTCAGAAACAAGACAAGTCAAAGGCCTCTGGGTGGAGATATCAACCACTTGGAAACAAACCACCAGGTACATTTCTATCAAGAAACTTACTACTGACAACCCACCTGGCAGGTACAACCCAAACTCTAATATGCAACCCAAACTCTACATTAAAATTATACAGTTAATAGCTTTTATTGAAGAAGATGTTTGCATTTCACCCATCTTATGTTTCTATTAACTTTTCAGATCAGTTTAGGTAAACCCCATGGACCACGTGCAAGAGCTCTGAATTAGAAATGGATGTGCAGTGCCCAGCTCAGTGGACTGAGTGTCGTCCCATGGACTGAGAGGTCCTGGTTCAAATCCTGGTCAAGGCAGATGCTCAGGGTTGTGGACCTGAACCCCAGGAGGGGGCGTGTAGGAAGCAGCCGATCGATGTTTCTCTCTCACATTGATGTTTCTATTTCTCTCTCCCTTCCTATCTCTCTGAAAAAGCAATAAAAACATATTAAAAAAAGAGCCCTGGCCAGTTTAGTTCAGCAGTTAGAGCATCGGCCCACGGACCAATGAGTGGCAGGTTCAATTCCAGTCAAGGGCACGTACCTGGGTTGTGGTTTGTCCCCAGCCCGGGTTGTGCGGGAGGCAACCAGTCGATGTAGCTCTATCACTTCGACGTTTCTGTCTCTCCCCCTCCCTCTCACTCTATCTGATAAGTAGAAAAATATCCTCAGGTGAGGAATTAAAAAAAGAAAGAGCCCTGGCCAGTTTGGCTCAGCGGTTGAGCGTTGGTCTACGGACCAGAGAGTCCTGGGTTCAGTCCCCGCTAGGGGCACATACCACCAAATAAAATAAATAAATAAATGAAAAAGATAAAAAAGAAATGGATGTGTAGTGAAAGAAACACACAGCCTGTCTCATGTGGAGAGATTCCCTGTAAGAAGGTCCTTCCTAAAGGATGGCCCCGCTTCACACTATGTACTAACCACAGCCAGCGTTGAGGCAGCTGGTCAACTACATTTAAATATGCTTGCATTGAACGTTCGGTGTTTCATTCGCCACACAACAAATGGCTTCCTAAGTCATTCTGCAAAGTGAACGTTCATTTATCTTTCCACACACATAAATTGGAATAAAAGCTTGTATGCTCCTCTATTCAGATTTTCTCTGGTAGGAAAGCTTTTGTCAGTGGAGCTTTTTGTAGAAAATGAATCAACACGTACAGTGACTTGATTCCCAGCATCACCTCCTTTTCCAAACAATGACACGCAATCAGACAGTAAATGTGTTAATAAGACGTATTCACCAAGAACCTTGGTATCTGACTTACCTATTGGATTTCTATCAAAGAACAAGACCGGAGCTTTCAGAATGGACTCAAACATCTTGTTGTGTAAACTTTGTGAAGAATTAACAAGGACATGGAATACCAACAGAGATCTCACTATGCCGAAAATGACTGTAGCTGCAGTCAAACCTGAAACAGAGAGACATCGCTCAGCACAGGGTCTCCGCACTTCCTTCAAGGGGCTGAAGCACGTCAGGTGGTTTGTAAAGAGATCACATATTTTATCCCATTAGGATCTGCACTCTGTTAAGAGTTTAATGCATTACAAGATACATCTATAATGAAGAATATACAATAATTTTTCTCTCAAATATAAACTACATGGGAAAAAAAATCAGGTATAAATTACAATTTCATTCTGGTCTTTCCTAGTTCAATGACAAGTTCTATTGAAAACTCAGAAGAAAAATAATTATAAAAAGTACTTGATCTTCCTGTCTCCATATTCCAAATCTTACTACTACAGCATGTCCCGTGCTCTGAAACTGTGGTATGTTTTGATACCAGCATGTGATATTAACAAGGAAGAGGAAAAATAATTGGCTGTTTTCTTGTAATAAATGCACAAGTAGCTTTAAAGAATATGAAAACATCATATTAAGTTGCAAGTAGAAAAATTTCTTAAATAATTGAACTGCAAAAAAAATACAAATTATATTTTAACAATTAATTTAAATGAGAAACTAATTTCTCGCTGAGCGTTTTATAAACAAAGCATTTTTAATTTTTATTTATTTTTCTAAATCCTCACCCAAGAATATTTTTCCATTTATCTTCAGATAGAGTGGGAGGAGTGGGGAGAGAGAGAGACTGAGAGAGATACATCGACTGGTTGCCTCCCACACGACCCTGACCAGGTCAAGGGACCAAATCACAACCAAGGTACATGCCCTTGGCCAGAACCAAACCTGCAACTCTTTGGTCCATGGGCCAATGCTCTAACCACTGAGCCAACCAGGCCAGGGCAAACAAAGCATTTTAAAATGAACATCATCATTTAAATTATATATTTTATTGATGACATAAATGAATACCTACTATGCACATAAAAATGAAGACAGCTCTCCTAACATCTCTAGAACTCACAGTGCTAACTATAGGGGGACCCTGGCTGGTTTGGCTCAGCAGTTAAGAGTGTCGGCCCTAGGACCAAAGGGTCACAGGTCTGGTTCCCGCTCACGGGAACATACCTGGGTTGCAGGTTTGATCCCTGGCCCCAGTGGGTCATGCAAGAGGCAACCAATTGATGTGTCTCTCTCTCTCTTTGGAGCCCTCCCTCCCTTCCACTCTATCTAAAAATCAATTAAAAAATTTCCTCAGGTGAGGATTAACAAAATAAATAGTGACTAAATAAATAAATACAGTGGGGATGACTTCTATAATAAATATTCCATTAAGTACTTTTCCCCCCTTCAAATGACACGCCACTCTTTGTTGAACTCTGAAAGCAGGTCCTATTCCTGAATTCCCACAACAGGCATTTCCCTCAGCCCAGCACCCCACATGCGTGTATGACTCCACGGTTTCCTTTTCCTCTCGGCACCCACTGTCCACCAATCCAGAAGGTAAACGGCTCATGGGCTTAGGTTGCTTAGCATGGGGTCAATGCAATAAATACCACATTTCAGTGAGTGGGTTCTTACAACAGAACTCACTCTATCTTCCAGGGAAGTGTGCATGGGTGTTTCCTGCGGGTTATTTAACATTTCAGATGAGGATTTCCTTGAAGAAGTAAAGCTACAAACATTTTAGGCACTGCTGTGAAAACGGAGCGCTGTGTTCGTATTAGTCTGGCAAGCCAAATGTTAAATTACTCACACAGTTGGGAAGGTGATAACATTGTGATCTCAAGGTAAGAAAGAGAAGGCAGCCTAATTCCCAGATACTGGATTTCTCCCTGCTTAGCTTCTCTCTTAAGTAATTAGTGAAGCCCAAGAGATGAGCAGCCTGGTGAAGGGAGCTTTGCATACCTGCGAGGGAATAATGCTTTGATTTGGGGGGCCTTGCTGCCAGAGGATTTCATCCAAGTTCAACAAAAGCCAGGGTTTATCCAAACAGAATTGGAACAATCCGAACCAGAGGGTGGGGATCCGTTTCTAATCCCCTTTCCCATCCATATAATAATATAAGATTTAGCGAAAGCAACCTATTAGAATAGACAATAGCCACCAATTTCCAGTGGCTGGTTTTCTGAATGCTCAATCCTGGTTTAACTTCCAAAATCCAGTACAGAGCAAATTAAGAGTCTTCACTGAACCTCTTTCTTCTAGTAGACTTTAAAAATAATTATTCTAATTAATTCACAGAGTAAACGCGACTCAGACTCCTAATCTGTTAAGACATTACTGAATTACTCCTGGAAGCCTAGTTACTCACACAGGCTCATTGTGAGCACCTCATACGCTCACAGAATAGACCAAATGATCACACTTTACCTGAATAAATTCCTAAGTACCAGTTAAGATCGAGCTTTGCAGTTACATTTCCTTTTCCATTTGCAGTGACGTTCAGGGCCCTCTGTTCATTTGCCCTATGGAACAGGGAAGAAAAAAAATATTAAGCTATAGATAAAATTTATATAAATAAATTTATGAAAACAAAACCACGCATGCTCGACTTGGGGGATGTTTCACGCTGGATGACTCCCAGCTCACGGGGTCCTGTGGACGTCGACCTTATAGAAACGCAATCTGAATCACGACTGTGAATTCTCAGTTGTCTGTGGAGAGGCTGCCGAGGATCAGACATGGGTGAGACCCCGGGACAGTCACCCTCCACCAGCAAGAACGCTGATTTTTCTTCAGGGAAGCTAAGTGAGGACTGGCAGAGGAGGCTGGGAAAGGGAGGTCCACGTCGACTTTGTAGCACGCTGTGGCCAGACTAGAAACAACTCACCAGTACGACAACCACCAGTCCTGGAGAACGTAGGCAACCTAGGGGAACAACCAAACACAAACATCAAACGCTAACATCACTCACCCACTGGCAAACTCCCACTGAAATAGACCATCAAAAGGCTCCCAAAAAGGAGATGATCCTTCCAGCTCGGGCCAAGGTTGTGCCGCCCAACACCCCAAATGACAACAGGTCAAGTACGTGTATTTAACAGTTTTAAATCTTTAAAAGACATCCTTTGTCTCCCCTAGAAATTCCCTGTAATGTACACACGGCACCAGTAAGGATCACTTATTTTGATCCCCACAAATAGCACATTTCAATGCCAATCCAAGTGAACTGCAAAATGTAGTAATATAGTATAAGTAAATACAGTATAAATAGAAATGTTACTGTAAATATCAAGCTGAAGGCACAAAGCAGAACCAATGCCCCTACTTACCTGAGCTACAATGTTTACTAAAATAAGTAAAATGATGACAACCCAGTGGGCACCAGCTGTGAAGTAATTCTTGTAGGCCTTAAAACCAACTTTTCCTGCAGAACGGCTCTCCTCAGATACCGTAACCTGCACATTCTCAGTCTGGGAAGGAAAAAAGGCAGAGAGAAACATTTCAGTAACCCAAAAATTTCAAAAGTTCAACAATGCACGCTACTAGCAAAGCATGGGGAAACACGCACGTCTCAGATACTGGTAGAAGTGCAAAATGGTAATCTCCCACGGAGAAGACTGGAAATACAGCCACACCAGGGGCACATTCACCCTCAGACCCAGCTATCCCTCTTCCAGGAATCTTTAGAAATCAGGAAGAATCATTTGCATGAGGTTATCATTGTTGCGTGGCTCCGCTTAACATCGTGATTTCCAGCACATGTACAACACACCAATCTATCCAAGAAGCGTGTTCCAAAATAACAGACAAAATGATACGGAGCCGATGTATCACTCTAGACTATTTGTGTCACTCAATAATGGAAACATAAAACATAGTAGGACCTCAAAATATTAGCCAATACAGTACACTGAATTCAAACATGCAGACGGAGTAACGAGAATTTGAGTAGTAAGGGAGAGCAGGTGATCCGAATCAATCTGGTTCCTGAATTTTAGAGTGATTCCTGAGTTTCGAATGTGAGAGACTAATCTGAGTACTTGAATCATCCGGGCTCCTGGATTTGGATCGTACGGTGTGGATTTCAAGAAATACCGTGCATATTTCTGAGGGAGATCTAGTGCACTTCTGTACTTCTGTCTGGAGGACTGAACAGCGGTTCTCAACCTGTGGGTCACGATCCCTTTGGGGGTGGAACGACCCTTTCACGGGGGTTGCCTAAGACATAACAGTAACAAAATTACAGTTATGAAGTAGCAATGAAATTAGTTTTATGGTTGGGGGTCACCACAACATGAGGAATTGTATTAAAGGGTCATGGCATTAGGAAGGTTGAGAACCACTGACTTAGAATGTATTACAGATTCACATAAACCAAAGATGTCCTTGGTTGTACTGGCCACTGGGGACTCAAAAATAGCTAAGATGTGGCTCTCGATCTTAAAGTGAAGAAAGGAAGACGGGAAATAACTCTGAGGGGTCCACCCTGTGCCAGGTCCTCTGCACATGCTACTCCTGGCCTATCGAAACCATCTGACAACAGGGCAAAACAATACCATCAGTCACCCTCGGTGCCAGAACATTTCAACATACAAGAAAAGTAGCTGATTTAAGGTGTGTCAAGGCAGGATGCAGTCTGAAGGGTCTTCAAATTAAGCCTCTGGGTGCAAGAGAGAAGCCTGGGACCACCACAGCAAGTAGGATTTACTTGTGATAAAGTCAAGAGTTCTAATATCACGCAGTGCGAGCCACACAGACCTAGAAATGTATACAGTACCCTCACTACTGATGTCCACGAGAGTCTCCATCCCACATCCAAAGGAGAACCCACGCAGGCTTACTCCCTTCATTCCGGGTTCATTCTACAAAGTCCCTGGATTAAGACCTTGGAACCTTAGGGTCTACTTTGGGACAAATGGAGATGTCAGGAGCAGAGCAGAATGAAGATCCACGAGACCACAAAAATCAGACAGAACCAGGGCATGTTGCAAGATGTGAGAAACTTACAGCTTGGCTCTCTGGGGCGCCATCTTTCAACGAGGGTCTAGAAGACTGTTGAGACCAAACCGAAGACTCTGAGAAGGTCCGCTGCCTCAGCGTGGGACTTCCTGAAGTGGAAGCTTGTTCAGCCTCCTCATTTTCCTTCTTCAAAAGGGAACCAAAATCCACCCCAGATTTCAGAAACTCAGTGTAAGTCCCCTTTTGCACCATTTTACCCTAAAATAAAAATAAAAAATTTGAGAGAAATACATTTGCATTTGATAATACTAATCCAATGTAATACTAATCTAGAAAAGTTCTAGGGTCTTCAATTATGATTTTCATAAGAAAATTATCCTTAGGTTTGGAATTCTGGTTGACAAATCTAATTCAACTCGACATCGAACTGAGTTGCACCCTCTGCTAAAGGCTATTTTGGGTGCTGGGCGACAGAAAGGAAATGGATAGTTGTGTGTTAACAGTGGAGGTCACGGACACGGTTACCATGGTCATGTAAGGAAGCCAGGAGTCTAGATGTGGGTGGGAGCATCAGTAGTCTTTTTAGATGACATGGAATTTGAGATAAGTCTCATGGAACAAGCAGAATTTAAAAGAACAGAGTCACCCTGGCTGGCTTGGCTCAGCGGTTAGAGCATCAGCCCTTAGACAGAAGGGTCGAGGTTCAATCCCCAGCCTGGTCAGGGTCATGCAGGAGGCAACCAATCAATGTGTCTCTCTCACACCAATGTTTCTCTCTCTCCCTTTCTCCCTCCCTCCCTTCTACTCTCTCTAAAAATCAATGGGAAAATAATCTCAGGTGAGGATTAACAAAAATTAAAAATAAGAGTCCATGGGGGAGGATATTTCAGGTAAAAGAAAAGTTAAGACTGACACAGGTGAGCACCAGCACTCTGCAGAGGTGAAAGTCACTCCGCAGATCTTCGAGCCCACTGTCAGTGCCACGTGCCGTGGGGACCACCCTGGACACAGAACCCACGAGCTGCATCTTCATGTCTTTCCTCTAAAACTGCCCCTCCAACTCAGGGAGTTCCCAACTGAAATGTCAATATTCCATGTGTTAACTTAATTAAACAAGGAGGTGACCACACTGAGGTGGCTCTAATGTCTTAGTAGCCTGTGGAAGGAAACCAAAACCTAACCCCAAGTCACTGCACCCGTCGGAGGAAACGACACCTGAGCACAAGTGCAAGCAGACACAAGGATGCCCGAACCGGGCCACTGCCCGGGTTAGAGCCACTCAAATAATATGTGTTGAACACTTGTGACACCTCATCACACAGTTTCCCTTCCTTACAAAGTTATATAAAATAATGTGCAGAGGTTTTCACTATTTTCTCACCCTGTGGAACAAGACGCTGATTAACTCAGTGCTAAACAAAATATCAGGCAAAATCGCAAGACGCAAAGCCAATCAAAGAAGGGCGGCCCTGGTTAAGGCAGGTTGGGAGGGCCCAGCCCCCCGGGTACGCTCTCATCCGGTCCCCCTGGTGGTCCTCGAGAAAAACCCAGCAAAGCTTTCGGGAACTGTTTGATACTGCAGAGTCAGAAAATTATTCATGATATACCGTGTCTTGTTCCACTTGGGAGGCAAAATTCATACATATTATTTAATGAAATTACCGCTTTCTACTTAGTATCTGTGAGGTGCACAAGGAAACAGCTAGTGGTGTAGAGATAGCAGTTTTCCTCAGCAGCCGAGCACTGACAATCCCGGGAGTGCTGGGGGCAGCCGACCCCTCTCTGCTGTGAGAGAGGGACCCAGGGAACAGTAAGGACGAACCCAACTCGTCCAGGGGTGCTCACCAGTGGATAACTGCTTTGATAGTGTTAATGTTGGGGGTGAGGTCTTCAAAAGAAGCAATAAGGGAACCCCTAAAACATCTAGGGACCAGCTCACTAGGTTTTCTCCTGCCCTGATTTTCCGCTCACAGTACTGCCACCACTCGGGTGATATACCACCCTAGATTCACCCCTCCACCCACAAACTTTGTTGTTCTCAAGTTGGAGGAATCTGCGCTCCTTCTCCCTGCCGGAGTCGCGAAGAGTCAACACATGGCACCGCCTTGTGAACCCTTTCCGAGGGCGGCAATCCCGGGCCTGTTGGCACAGACGAGGGTTAACGATGAAGGTGCTCAGGCACCATGGCCAACAAGCCAGGAAGTGACGCGTCAACCGCTGAGCCGTAAATGTTCTCACCAACCTTCACCCCACCAACCATGCTGGCTGTTGTGGGTGGAATGGTGGCCCCCAAAATATATGTTCAAGCCCTAAACATGATACCTGTGAATGTGACCTCGTTTGGAAATAGGGTCTTTGTAGATGTAATCAAGTTAAGAGGAGGTCATACTGGAGTAGGGTGAGCCCTGACTCCAACGTGACGAATGGCCTTATGTAGGAGAGAGAAAGAGACTCAGACAGACACAGGGACCACACCGTGGGACAACGCAGTCAGAGTCGGAAGAGCTGCAGCTGCAAGTGAGAAGGCCGAGGATGGCCACCCGAAGAGGGAAGAGCAGGGAAGGATCCTCCCCCGAGCCTTCGGTGACGCCAGGGCCAGGCCAGCACCTTGGCTTTGAACTGCAGCCTCCAGGATGGCGAGAGTCAATTTCTGTTTTAAGCCACCAGTCTGTGGTCCTTTGTTGTGGCAACTCTAGAAACTGGGGCAACACCAGCCTAAGCCCATCCTTCTGACTTCCGAACTTCACTGCGACTTCTTGTTTCTGCTGCTGCCCCTCCAGTGACCAGCAGGAGGGTCTTTTAAGGTCTCACACCAGACCACACACCGCTCTGCGCTGGACCACACTGGCTTGCTTGGCATTCCGGGCCAGCTGCCTGCTGCTCTCGGCCCATCCCCGCTCGCTCGGCCTCAGCCGTTCCTTCCAGGTCAGCTCCTTCCTCAGCACCCTGCCTCTGGAATCCCTGCTACAGAAGCCCTCCCCCGGTGGCGCCATGGCAAGCACCTTCATGTCACTCGGGTCCGTAAGGCACCACCTCCTGGGGAGGCAGTCATGACATCAGCCCCCGCCCTCTATCATATCTCTCCCCACAGGATGGAAGCCCCATGATGGCGGGGACTTACCTGTCTTACAGGTGCACAGGTTCTCACGTGTATCGGGCCTGCAGACCCTGTGCAGTGAGACCAGCAACCAACTACACCGGGAGCGAGGGGGCCTCTAACCAGGGGGTGCTCAGCGATCCAGCTATGCCTCTGATATTAATGGACGACACTCTTTGAGGAAACTGCGTTTAACAATCAAATGCATACAAACAAGTTTTCATATCGCTAATTTCCAAAATACACACTTGGACTTAAATCACGAAAAAGGGAAACAAAAAGTTCTAAATATAACTTAATAAGCAAGGTAGCGATTTTATATATACCTTAGGGTATATGGTTTGGGCTTAATAGTAACATTTCTGTGTGTCTTTGGATTCATCCTCAGAGGCATGGACAGAAGCCGAAAAGAAAGGGATGAAAAACTGAGGAGGCGGAGGAGCGAGTGCACCAGGAGAGTGACCGGCAGGGAGGCCCGAGAGCCGGCAAGCTCGAGACTCTAGGATTACTTACATCTTTCAATATCAGAATCTGACTTGCAGCTTTTAGGTATTGCAACTGGTGAGTCACTAAGACTGTGATCTTCTCATACAAGGTCTGACAAATACACCTATAAATGTAAGAGGTACAGTATGCAAAAACACATTATTGGGTGCTCCAAACTGAAAGGCGTACATCTTGAAAACATAAGGAGACAAAGACAACACAGTAGTCAAAGATCTAAATACAAATTAACTACAAATATAAATCAAGAAAGCCAACTGGAGCCTCAAATTCACCAGCAGCAAACTTGAGTCTAGCTCTGCAAAGTCTAAGCAGCAGCCCAGTGCAGGAGGCGGCTCCTGCTAAGTGCTGTTCCCTCCCCCAAACTCAGCTTCACAAGTATGTATATCCTTCACACTGAAACCCAACTGAGCAATACCAAGATTCCAAAACCTGACTGAGCTGAAATACTAATTATTTTATCGCTGCGTGGGAACAGGGAAGAGAGGGCTATGAGATATAAAAATGTGTATGTTTTTCTTAGTTTCCTGGGTGACTATGATTTACAGTGTACATATCACTCAAAAGAAAAAAGCCTTAGATTCTCAGTAACCTTTGCCAGGGTGCATTCCTTAGACACTTCTTCCTTAAATAATAGTAGATGGAAAATAAACGCTGGTGCAGCCCTGATGGGTCCCTACAACATCCCCAGTCCCGTCTGGGAAGCACGTCTTCTTCTGTTAGGACTGAAAACCTGCCAAATGTGAAAATGGACAGACCCCAAGTGGCCCAAATCGCAGTGGAACTCACCCAGCAGCTCAGAGGACAGGGCAGTTCTCTTAGCGGAGACCACGTCAGTATTCAACCTCAGAGTGTGTTGTCTGCTTTTACAATAACCCCTCAAAGTGCTCCTGCGTGTAAATGCAGACCCCCTGGCACTCAGCCCCAGCTGCATCCCACAGCGGTCTGCAAGCCCTCTGGGTAAGCGAGCGGCTGGGAACAGGCCCCAGCGGCCAGGCAGGGCTCTGGGCACACACTCTGGTTGCCCGAGTCACACACTGAGCAAACTGCAGGCTCATGGCTGGGTGGGTCAGATCAAGGGTCCTGGAGGCACCCGGACCACAGTTCAAACCCCTGCCCTGCTCTACCTCAACAATGTCAGGCGAGCTGCTAAACCTCGCTGAACCTCAGTTTCTTAATCTCAAAATAAGGCTACTATCAACTCATAGACATGCTCTGAGAAATAAAAGCACTAATCTGCTTAGAAAACCTTAGCTCCATTCTCCACTCTCCCTGTAACCCGTAAGTGGCCATCTGCTTTGGAGCCAGGATAGGAAAGTCCTGAGGGGACACTTCTGAGACTGGGCCTGTATCCAGAAGCAAGACTTGGGATATAGCCCTGGCCGGTGCTCAGTGGTTAGAGCACCTTGCCTGAGGTCTCGGGTGGGTGCCTGGGCATTTCAACCCCGGCCCTGGGCAAGGCTGTACGGGAGGCAACCAACTGATGTCTCTCTCTCGGTTTCACTGTCTCTCTCCCTTCTTTCCTTTCACGCTATCTAAAAGATCAATGGAAAAATACCCTCAGGTGAGGATTAACAAAAAAAGGAGAAAAACAAAGACCTGAGATACAGATGTATATACAGTACTATCACTCCATTCTTTAAGCTTTTAATGGAATTATTTCACTTTAATTCAAAATTACCTGCCATGATCCCCGAAGGTGGATGTTAATCAGATCTGCTATGTTTGAAATGGGTCAACCGAAAGTTTATGAATGTTTTCTTCCTGATATTCCATCATCAATGAGGTAATGTAATTACACTAATATTATCAGTTGATGGCTTTACATTTTTCCTAAATTATGCTTTTTATTAAAAAGAGTAAAAATTTCCAAGTGAGGCCATAAGAAAATGACTGATTCAGCAATGGGTTAACTCTTACCCTAGGTAAGGGCTGTTTGAAAAGGTATCACATACCGTGGTGGTGATACAGATAAGACAGAGTCACAACCTTCATTCATTCAATCAACAGACAATTGCTGAGAGGCCAGGCCCTAGTCTAAGTGCTAAGGATGCATCCAGTGGTCGAGCCAACAGGCCCCACTCTGAATCACACAGAGGGAGGCACTAAAGGAGTAAAGAACATGCACTGCAGGGTCGTGACATGTGCTACCAAGAAAAAGCCAGGTGCAGGTTGCTCTCTCAGCTGCAGGTGACATGTGAGCCATGCGAACATCTGGGGGAACATCGCAGAAGGTGCAGCAGGAGCCGTGGTTCTGGGACAGAAACATGCTGTGCAAAGGCACCGTCACACGGTCACAGTTCAGTGGCAGGTGGGGGACGTATAATGGTGAAGTCCAACCCACTGAGGGCTGTGGGAAGACAGGAGGCACACACTTCCCCTGCAGGGACAGGAGGGACAGGAAGAAAGGTGGCGGCAGTGTCCTCCATCTTTCTTCTTTGCCCTGGCTTGCTGCCCCATGGCTCCTGGACAGAGGGTACAGTGTCTGTACGGACAGACAGATATGAGAAAGGGCTCACCTCATTCGGGGCATCCCACAAAAGCCGTCAGGGCTGGAATAGGTACCAAGGCTGTGTGAGGAGATGCTGGAAAGGCGAACGGGGGCAGGATAAAGAACCTTGTTCGCCATGTCAGGACTTTGAGCCGCATCCTGAACAAGAAGGCGGGTCAGTGGAGGCCGGAGACAGGAGGGTGAACAGAGAGAGCAGCAGTGTGGGAGACCTGATCAGCACAGAACCGAAGAGCTCACTATGCAGGAGGTGGGGGTGTGGTGACATGGGGCTTTCTAAAGTACGACAGGGACCCGTGGCTAAAACCAGATCCGACGGACATCGTTAATCTAGGGGTCCCTCACCTTCTGTGTGTGCCAGAGTCCACGTGACGATTACCACATAAAGTTGTAAAACTCACAAACTTTAATAACCTTGGGTATATATCTATGACTGAAGTAAACAGTTAATGGCAAGTAGAAGTGTAATTCATTCACTTTTAATACAAAACACTTCACATTACTAAGCTTCAACACAACCGCCATCTTTCGTAGCGTATTGTTCAATCCAATTTTCTAACTCATTGAGGACATTCTCCAGCTGCTGCTGAGTGATTTTCTAAATTGCATTCGTGCTCCCTGCCCTGGGTTTCCCCAAGGAATGTGGTTCTGATTAGCAAACAACAATTTTAACAAGCTTGCCTCTATCAAGTGTATATCCAAAGTCATTAAACCCGAAAGGTGCGAGAGGACTTGATAAATACCTGTGCTGGGAGAACTTGGGAGAGCTCTCGTGATAAGCACACTGATACTTCGCAGTGAAAACCGCCCCCCTCCTTGCCCTGGCCGGTTTGGCTCAGCGGTTAGAGCGTCGGCCTGCGGTGCAGAGAGACCTGGGTTCGGTTCCCGCTAAGGGCACGGACCTCGGTTGCAGTTTGTGCCTGGGCCTGGTTGGTCGTGCGGGTGGCAGCCACTCGATGTGTCCCTTTCACATTGTTTCTCTCTCTCTCTCTCTCTCTTCCTCTGTTTCCCTCCCACTCTACCTGAACAAAAAATGGAAAAATGTCCTCAAGTAGGATGGATAGATAGATAGATAGATAGATAGATAGATAGATAAGGAAACCCCTCCTCTCCCCGCCTAGTGACGAACGCAGTGGCCAGCAGAAACTGTTCCTGACACTGTTCTCGAAGGGATGGAGAGAGAGTGTGTGCAGGCACACAAGTCGAGGTGACAGACATGGGTTCAAGGTGGGGTCTTGGGAACAGGGAAGCGGAGCTACTGTAGATGCCGCCGAGGATGGGGGACTGGGGAATCTCTGTGTCGGCACCCGTGTCCTGCCACTGAACTCAGTACAAGCCACAAGGCACCTCTCTGCCCAAGGGGAAATTCATCAGGCCACAGTCAGGATGGCGTGGGGGCAAGAGGTCAGATCTGGTAGCTGGAGGCCATGCCAAGGTCAGCTGGCCCTGCTCTGGCCATTCTGAGAACTTCAGGGCACTCAGCACTTCTTTTATTGTGATAACATTTACGTAGAATAAAATTGACCATTTTAACCATCACCTCCATCCCTCTCCAGAACTTTTCATCACTCTAGAACTAAGCACATTTTACATACACACTCTGGTGGGACAATGTTAGGGGACCCAATCAGCGACCCATGCTGAGTGGATGACCTCAAATTCCAGCTCCTCGGGTCCCAGCCCAGGGCTGGCTCGCAGTCTCACTCGCACACTGCTGACTCTGCTGACTCTGAATCTCTGCAGTTCCCTGCTTAGGACCTGTTGTGAATGAACTGTACTCACCCCACGTTCTCACGTGGATGCCTTCGCCTCCTCTACCTTAGAATCTGGTCATAGGACTGTTGAAGCCTTACTCTGCTACGAAGCAAATCATTCTTAACTCCTGGACTTTACTAAGTACTTCCAACCTACAGAATACGCCTAAGCCAAAAAGGTCTTTCCACGGAAGACCAACGGTGGTACTGAAAATGTCACTTCTAATGCTCCAAAAACAATGGTGGATGGAAAGAACTGGTAATCAAGTACCTGGTTGCTGAGTCCCACCTTAGATTTAAACCCCATGCATGGTCTTTCCTGTTCCTGGGTCCGGATCCATCAACAGTGTCTTGGTTATCAAGTGCGAGAGAGAGAGTGTGTGTGTGTGTGTGTGTGTGTGTGTGTGTGTGTGTGTGTGAGAAGCATGTACTCCTCTTGCCTCCACCCACTGTAAGTACCTCCTGTCTTTTCACATCTTGCCCTCGTGTTATGCAAACCTTCTCTACCATGGCTCTCCTGTGGAGGGAAGGGAGGGGAAAGAGGTACGTCCAAGCAGGAAGAGCTGAAGCATCTGAGGCACAAAGGCTTCACTCCACAGGATTCTTGGGAAGCAGAAATGACACAAAACACAAGCAAACTCACAGCTGGAACAAGTGTCTGCCGACCTCTGCATCCACGGCACTGAGGGGATCGTCCAGAAGGTAGATGTCCGCGTCCTGATACACTGCTCTAGAAAACGTGAAGAAATATCAGACGGAAGCACGCGTCAAGCTCCCTGGATCTCATCCCTGAATCACGACAGCGCTCAACCATTCCGATGCCGCTCATTCCACGAGTCCACAGACTGCTCTGGGACGCGTGCTTCACACCACACCCGCCGCGGTGAGCGGGATCTGCGTGGTCACCGTCGCCAGAAGCAGCATGAGAGGCACCTGCAGAATGACAACCCAAATGACATTTACCTTGCCAGGTTAACCCGGGCTTTCTGCCCTCCGCTCAGCGTGGTCCCCCGATCTCCTATCACAGTTAGGTCTCCATCCTCCAAAAGCTCCAAATCCTATATAGACAGAGAAAGAAGAAAAGAAAAAAAAAAGACATAAAATGTGTTCTCCCACTGTCATCCTAAACTCTTAGCATTAGTCTTCATACGCAAATGTGACCAATAGCAATGGATATATTTCAAAGTGACTAAACTGTAAACTTGAACCTTTCAAAACACCTCTCAGGACATTCTGTTGGACTTCATCCTGCAGTGTTTCAGTGTGTATGCCTTCGACCACTTTAACAGATATTTAGTGAACATCACCTCTACCAGGTGTTGTTGTGAGCACAATGAATTCAGCACAGTGAAGAAAACAGTCTCTAGTCTCCACAGTGAGACTGACAACGTGAAAAAGTATCATGGGTGCAAGTACTAAGTGCTAAGAAGAAAGACGTTTAGCTTGGAGGGACAGAGAGTGAAGGAGGGACCCTCCATCTTACAGGGGGTCGGAAAGGCTGTGATCAGAGGGGGTTTAAGCAGATAGATACCTGCTGGAGGGCAGAATCAGCCTGCACAGATCTGGATAAATGTGATGCATGTGGGGAAGTGAGCGAGTGCAAAGGCCACGAGGCAGGTGCACATCCAACGTGTTCAGAGACTAGCAAAGAGGCCAGGAGCGGAGGAGCAGAGCACGGGGGGAGGGGCCACGGATCCACCCTGAATGGAAGGGGAGAGGGGCCCGGGGAGGACTGACATGACCTGCATTAGGTTTTTTAAAAAATCACGCCTTCCCCTTTGTGGGAAACAGACTGCGGCAAAGGGGCAGGGAAGGCAGGACACAGGTGACGAGGCTACTGCAATAATCTAGGCGAGAGAGGACAGTGGCAGGGACCGAAGTGGGAACAGTGGAAATGAAGAAAAAGTGTCCCGATCTGAACACATTCGGAGGCTAGAGCCTGGACATGCTGATGGAGTGGGTGTGGGCTGCAACAGAAGAGCTGAGGAGTACTTGTTTCTGGCACAGAAAGGGGAAGCACGGGGCCGGCATTTACTGAGAGGAGGAAGATGAGGAACGCAGGTCCAGGGGATAAAAATCAAGGTTTCGGTCTTGGGCAAGCTGAGATTCCTTCTGGTGAGGACAGGCCGCGGCTGGCTATGCAAGGCTGGAGGGCTGCGCTGGAGGCACAGGTGTGAGACCAGGGGACGCATCGTAGCTTGTAAAGGCACAGAACCTATTTTATCAGGAAATAAGTGTGTCTTAACCAGCCATTGTGCTGAGCCCAGTCTCAGTTCCCCACCTGCAGGGAAGGGATGACACCTGACCCATGTTTTCACAGTGGTATTTAAGGCACAGTGACAGAGTGACAGACAAGATCTGTACAAGAAAGAAAAGCAGAAAGAGCCATCTGGGCAGGAAAAAGCCAAAGTGTGTTCTGGGGATACTGAGCGGATCATTTGGGCTAAGTCGATGCTGGTTCCATGCAAGTCAGGAAAAACTCAAAGCTAAGAAAAATAAGAAGCTTTGATTTGAGAATCTGGGAATCTATCAAAAGTTATATTTGAGTAGTATTTTAAGAAATAATGGACAAATCACAGTACCCAGAAAAAAAAGATGAAAAGAACATCCTCAAAATGACAGGATAACAATCAGGTTTGAATTACACATTCTATTAGAAAATTTTCAATTAGATTACCCAAAATTATCACTAGGTAGATCCCGGCATACACAAGCAGAGTTTGGGGAGTCTGTTGGTTTTCTACTGAACCTCTCGCGCTTCGACCTAGGGTGCACAGCGACACCTCTCTGCAGATGCAGCCTTCGCCTCTTTGTCTCCACTTGGGCACATTTGGGGCAGAAAGCAAGCAGCACACGGACATCTCCATGGTAAACAAGTCCTTTATCTCCCTAAGTTTCATGTCCTCTCCTACAAAATGTGCTGCAGAAACAAGAATTACTGAACTCAAGGGCACCGTGGGAATCAAAAGAGTAAGTGTACAAACAGCCTCTACAAATGGAAAAAGGACACGAATTCAACTTTGCTATTGGTGACTGACACACACTGTCTGATCAAACCGACAGTGGGACCTCATGCACATTCTGATTCCGTGTGAATCACAATATACGAAGCACACCACCAAAAGAAGAAGCGAAAAAGAGTGTCACAATCATAGCCCACTCCCTGGCAGCTCACAGAGACACACAGGCACACCGAGTCTCCGCACGCTCGAAGCTCAGCTGGACCACATCAAAGGAAAGGCAGCAAGAGCTCAATCATGCACGTTCATGACCGTTTCATACTACTTCTTTCTTGACCTAAGAAGTTAGTACCATCTCTTGCTTTGGGTTTTCATAAAAAGCAAACAAACAAACAAAAACAACGAGCAATTTTAAGGTAGGGACCCAGCTTTCTGGGAAACACACACACACACAAACACACAGAGGAGTTTACTTGACCTCTGTTTCACTGTTGACAATCCTTGCAAAGTGTTGTTGGTTTTTACGTCACATTTGCTTTCCTTCCCAGAAGACCATCAGGTTGTAGCACAGCAATCTTAGCCTTTTTCTAGAAAGGGCACTTAAAACCCACTCCTTCATTTACCAGAGTTAGGAAATCAGAAATGGGCTCTCTCTGAGTCCGGTAGACGAACTTCGAGTGGTTTGTTGACTCTGCAAACCATTTACAGACAAGCCTCCAATGGGAAGAACATTTAAAAGACTCTGAAGGAACACCCGAGCCAGACTAATTTCCTAACCATGTTCGTCTGATTTGGTCAGAGCAGAGACTTTTCAACCACTGTGCTGCAAGAATTTTTAAAACATGCGGCACCTGACTATTTAATCAGGGGCACTGACCTCTCTCCCCTTAGATTGTCAAATAGAAAAATGACAACAACCAACACAGTAGCTGTCCAGTGTGAATGAATCAAAATTGTACCTTTTTTTTTTTTTTTGTCAGTTCAGCAAAAAAAATCTAATGTGTTTTTTTTGGTGTGCCACAGAATTTTAGTAATTAGTTTATGTGTGCAATGAGATGAAAAAGGTGGAAAATTGCTGGGTTAGAGGGAAAAGCCTGAGTTGACCATATATTACGATTCCTCCCAGGGACAGAAAGGTACTCTTACATTACCTCTAAGTTAAATTTAACCAATTATTTCACCTACAGCAGCTTTTCCAGAAAGTCAGACAAACCAGAGGAAAGCCAGGACATGGCTATGCTGGTTTGACGCTGTTGAGCCAGAAACATGTCTAGGGCCTTTTAGTGACGGTAGAGACTCACAGGAGAAAGGGCACTGAGCAGACTGTCGAAACAGTTCCGAGGGCCAGAAGTGAGGCTCTGGTCAAACAGCAGGGGTCCGACGAGCCTTTGATCACAGCCCTTCCTCCCCTGGGAACTGCCCGCCTATCACGCCTTCAGTAGCCTGCCCGTCTCTCCAGGCCCAGCTCAAACACCCTTCCAGGAAACCATGCCTGAGCTTCCCCATGAGAAGGTCATCTTTCTACTGTGTTCCTAAGACTTTGTTTATATTTCTCAGGAAGGACCCGTCTATTCTGCTGCACAACCTGTATGCATACACACGGCTCCTCTCCCCGCCAGTCGGCTCCTGGATGGTAAGACCGATGTGCCAAGCACTGTTCTGGATGCCTTATCCTGACTGTCTCCAATCCTCACAACAAGCTGTAGAGTGAGTACAGCCAGGCCTCTGCATCTGTGGGTTTCATACCTGCAGACTGAACCAATCCTGGAAGGAAAACAGAATTTTCCAAACACAGTTGGAAATCTACGGATGCGCAGGGCCAACTGTACACAATGCTACACCATTTTATGGAAGGGACTTGAGCATCCATGGATTTTGACATCTGAGGGAGGTCCTGGAACCAATCCCCCACAGATACTGAGGAACCACTGTATTAGACCCATTTCACAGATGAGGAAACTGAGACAAAGTGAGAGCGCATATGGCCGGAGGGCTGTCAGCTGTTAAATGGAACGGCTGACGTCTGAACCACGCTCATCTCAAGTCACAGCCTTGTGCTCTTTCTTTCCCAACATGCTGCCCTCCGTGGTTACTGAGAAATATATCTGAAATGAAGGCAATACTCAAATAACTCAAGACTCGAAGTCCTCTATATCTAGGCATGGAGGCATCAATAAACTCCATGTTTAAATTATCCGCATGTATCCCTTCTGTACTCATGGTTTTTTATTTCCTATTATATCACAGACAAGTGATAGAGTTATCCCAGTTGAGAGATACAAAAATAAAGATATAACAATAATCATTCTAATTATTAAATCAATCTGAAATGAAAACTTCCAAGCTGGCAGGAGTGTAGGCACCCCAGAGGGGTTTGTAAAGGCAAGTGATTCCATGTGGGAAAATATTAAACTAGAAGGTATCCGTGCGGTACCTTTAAATATGTATTGCCTAAAAGTTTTCAAAAGTCTTCAAGTGGTAAAAGACCATATGCAGACAAGTTTCACAGAATATCCTGCTTATGGCCCGGCCACACACTTCTTGTTGACTGTGTAGTGTACTATGCGTAGAACACCTAGATGATATCAACTCAGATACAAGAAGTTCCATAACACACTTAGATACCTTCTTTCTAACATGTCATATTTTATTATATGATTTTACCCAAAAATAGCTGTTCTTACCATTAAGAGCTTTTTTTTAAAAAAAAAACTGCACTTAAAAAAATTTTTTTTTCCTTTCTTGATTTTACAGAGAGAGAAGTGAGAGGGAGAGATAGGAGCATCAATGAGAGAGAACATCGATTGGCCGCCTCCTGCATGCCCCCAACTGGAGATCGGGCCCACAACCGGGGCAGGTGGCCTGACTGGGAATCGAACCAGCGACCTCTTGGTGCATGGGTCAACACTCAACTGCTGAGCCACACTGGCCGGACAAGAGCTAATGTGTTTTAATGATCAGAAAGACAACGTCCTGCAAGGAAAGAGCCAGATACTGGCCTACGTCTTTGGAGTCTGATCTGGACGTTCGGAGTTGAACTCGATTGAGGTAAGAAGATGCCCGAGATCTGTTTTTTCCACATCCCACCTTCATCAACCACCCAGTTTCTAAAATAGTTCTTCCTTATATACTTCCACAATTAAGAGGCCGCGTGGCACTGTGGGAAAGCACAGAGTCTAGCCGCGCCAAAACAGATCTGACCCTGCGCTGCGAATGTTTAGGTGAGTCATTTCATCTATCTAAACCTCAGTTTTACCAACTACAAAACGAGGTGGGGACATCAAAGACACAGGCAAAATATTAAATACTCATACATCTTTGTGTGAGAGAGAGAAGATTAGCGCGTGGACTCAATAAAGGGAGCTATTGTTATTACTACTTTACATTTGTTTTCCCTCTTTTCTTATATAGTGTATATACTGCTTAATAAAAATCTAGCTCATGAAGCTAACTTGATGTCATTTCTCAAATCACATAAGCTCTCATTAACAATAACCCAGGAAAAAGAAATAAAGGACAATTAAACAAGCAATTATGTTTTATCCACATCATCGTAAAATGCTACTCACCTGACACAAGCTATGATGTTCAAGCCATTGTTCAAGCAAAATTACTATTTGCTCACAAAGCCAGTTTGGAGTTCAACACCATCCCTTTGAACACCTGTCTCCGCCTTCTCCACACAGCATAAAAGGACAGTCGGTGTCCAGACTGCCCTGGACAGACCCCAGGGACAGCCCTGGAACGCTAGTATTCACTGACTTTTATAATCCAAAGCGAGTAACAGTATTTATCAGTATTTTATGTTTTGCTAAATTATATCCTCCTACCAGGTAAGTTCGGTTTTCATCATCTGATCACTAATTTTATTTATATCTCAATGAACAATTCAACATTTCATCCTGCCCTTTTCTGCAAAGCTCAGTGTTGTTTCTGAAAACAATCTCTCCCCCCTAGTGAAATGACACAGTATTAAGAAGAAATTTTAAATCCTTCTGTTTCCTTTAAACAAATTACAAGCCAAAAACGAAGTGGAGAGGAAAACCTATAGAACGAAAGAGACCCAGGAGACGAACCAACCAAGTGCAATGGGCAGACCCTATGTGGTATCTGATTCAAACCAACAGTTAACAAGATTTCTTACTGAGACAATGAAATGTAAGTAATGACAAGAACACTGATGATATTTAGAAATTTGTGTCATTTTTTAGGTGTGATAATGTGATAGCATTTTTTTTCCAAAGGCTCTCCTATGTTTTAGAGATAACAAATGAAATATTTACAGATGAACTAATATGAGGTCTAGGATCTGTTGCAGATGATTTGGGTTGGGGGTGGGGCTAGCAATACAGATACAAGAAGATGGGTCACCAGCTGATCCTGGCTGAAGCAGGGGAACAGGTACATGAGAGTTCATTGCATTATTCTCCCTACTTTTGCAAAATTTTACAACTGTCCATTTTAAAAAGGTTAAAAGTGAATAAAACTTCACAAAACCAAGCAATACCAAAGGAAAAAAGCGTTCTGTGAATGTCATTATCAGGACAGGATTAAAACAGTAGCCATCCGTGCATATGTATTTATCCTGAAGATCAGCAAAAAGTATTAAATAACATTCAAATATCTTTCACGTTAAAAACTTTTAACAAACCTTGCAGATTAAGCCAACACTTAATTATTATGATGTGAAATTCTAAGTAGATCAACTCAAAAGTCATTACTCACCTTTGTCAAAGCACAAGCCTTTATTACTTTTTCATATCGCTCCTTTTCATATTTCTTCCCAAATAAAATATTGCTCCTCACAGTTCCTGAAAACACCCAGGGCTGCTGAGCAACATATGCGATCCTTCCATGCACAGTGACCAGCCCCTGGCTCGGGGACAGTTCCCCCAGCACGGCACTTAACAGCGATGACTGAAACAGATCGCAAACAAACTCGTGTTACGGGCAACACTCCCACTGAACGAGCCACTGAATACCGCCTCCCCCCGCCCTGGGGTTTGACCAACGTTATAGCCCTGTCATCGAAAACAGGATAAAGTCACAGCCTGGGAGCTACAATTAAAAAAATTTAAAATAACACTGTTGGTCAGTGTAAACTAATGGCTGATAAGAGTATAACACACTCACTCTGCCCAAAACTTAACCCCCAAATGAAATGCTATACTCAACAAAGACTGATTAAGGATGTTGAACATTCTTAACTAACAGTGACCTGGTATGATCTTCACATGCCCGGTGTTTAATGCAGCTGTCCCAGCAACCAGGAATCCTTGATTGAACAAACACATGTTCCTGTAAAGCTATGTGTATGTAATATTTCCAATGCACCAGAAAAGATCATTTAAAGGGACTCTGAAGTAAGTCATATTTGCGAAGAGGAAAAATCCACCACGAGAGAAACAATCTCCCCTCGTTTCTATGGCCTATGTTTAGATTTCTATATTGCGTTGTTTCAGAACACACAAGACTGAGTGTGCATGCACGTTTCCTTCGGCTCCGTGACCGCATACAGACGTGACAAGCCTGTGCCCACATGATCAGACTGCTTATCTGCTTATACGGATCCGGCTGCGTCTGGAAGCAAAGGCGGCTGGGTCCTACCCCGCCTGTACCTCCCGCCCCCCACCCAGGGCCACGCACAGGGCTGCACATTTGCTAAGTGTGCACTGACACGACGTGGGGAAGTCCGGTGAGGAAATGTCTAAAGCTTTCTGGAAGAGCCTTCCCCTCCAGGCTTCCTGTAAGGTGTGCTCTGACAAAAAGAAGTCCCACTTTCTCTGTCATTCCATCCCGAAAAGCTGTCACTGAAATCATTTCCTTCACCGACACAGACAACTTCCCGTCAGGCAGTTCCCAAGTGTGCCACTTGAACGACCGAGAGAAAAACATAACCTGCTTTATCCAGTTTCTTCGGCCATGCAGCCTTCTTACCCAATGAACGGGCCACAGAACGCACTCTGAGAAATGCCACCCTAGATATGCCCAGTTCGTATGTGCGTTACATACGGCTTTGGGCTCGACCCTGAGACTTTGACACAGGATATGGCGTTGCATCCAGCTGCCAAAAGATGTGACAACTTACCTTTCCTGCTCCCACAGGTCCGACCACAGCTAACAGTTCACCGGGCCTGACAGTGAAGGAGAGGTCTTGTAGGGTTGGGGTTTCTGATACCTACAAATGAAAGTTTACAAAAAAGTGTCCATTTCGATCAAATAATACACGTCACTTCAAAAAGCTGAGAACATTGTGTACTAGTCAGTGATACATGAAGATAACGCACATCATTCTCCTTCCTATTTTAAGATACTGTGTCCTGGAGTCCTTTTCATTCAGTCGTGTCTCTCTGGGGGAAGGCCCATTCTTTTAACATATTTCCATGTGGGCACTTGCGTAGAATATAAGTAGTAGAAGTGACAAGGCACCTTCTATAAATGAAAAATCCTCGACAGACACTAACTTATTAAAAATACTATACTTAATGGAACATTCAGTGTGGGAGGTTTTAATCATTTGTTGTCACAACTTTTGGTTTTACTCTTATTTCATGCATCTCCACAAGGTGGCAGCATAAGTACACGGCATGCCTGTATCTCACCAAGAAACCATTTGAAATCTCCAGGAATCTTGCTTCATCTTCATTTGATAAAGACCCAGTCCATTCATTTCATGAATGAATGCCAGCCAGTAAGCCCTCCCCCCACCTACCTGTCTGGCTGTCTAGTGGAGCTGGTTAGAGAGCCCATGTCTTTCTCCTACATTGCAAACCAGCAAGCACTTTATCTTCCCTCAGCTTCTCTCCAAAACCCCCAATGGCTGTGCCCCTCCCCCACCCTGGGGCACTCTCACTCTACCTAACCTGACAGCCTCTAATTACCCCCTAACACGGGGCATAATCCGTCCACAGCAATGCTAGCACAACAGAGAAGGATGATCTGTACTACAAGCTGCAAACATCTGAGAACATGCTGTCAAGGTTCTTGGAAGAACAGAACAGCTCATTTCACAATGCTGCACAGTTTAGTACAAAAGAAATTTGGCCACAGGCCATACAAAGTGGCTGTTAGCTACCTCAGTGCCTCTTCCAACACAATGCATTCAGTAGAGGACACCTTTATGAGTAATAAAGGTGCTTTCTATAAACGCTTAACACTCTGTTATGATGAGCCATACGAAACAGGAGGCACACCTACTGCATTAAGAGAGCAGAGCAGGTTAGGTAAGGCAGCTTGTGTAAACATCCATGTGCAAAAGGTGCAGTGATGTGGCTTTCTATAGTTGGGTATTGTTTTGCTGGAGATGGCAGACACTGAATTAAAAGTAGGTGACCACAATGCAGGTGGCACAATACTTAGCCATAGGCATGAAAATATGGTGTACAGAGTTTGGACACTGGACCACTGGGGAAGGGAGAGCCAGCGCGGAGGTGGGCAGGAGTGCTGGTCGGGCACCTGTCTGCTCCAGGCTCCATTTGCTGACCTTCTCCTGCAAACTTGCAAACCCGGTCAACTCCAATTCAGCCCTTGGAGAGCACCCTCTGAGGCCAGGAGGCAGGAGTGGGAGAAGCTGCTTTCAGCAGCCTTCCCAGGACAGTCACACCACCCCTGCAGGGCCAGAACCAACAGCACAGCCCTGCACGCTATAGTCCCTCCTCCCACGGGCAGTGGGCTCCTGGGTTCGGCTCCCACCCGACGACCCTCTGCTAAATGTCACCTCCTCCCTGGGTCCCTATAGCTCTAGCGGTGGAACTCGGTTTAGTTTCTTGCTGTTGCTAATCTCGAGGTCACCTCACCTGCCACCTATGTAATTAATTCCCTGCGTAAAATTCCTGCTCCAGTGGTGTGGGTTCTGTTTTCCTGACTAACCCAGACTGATACAGAAGGGTGTGCACAGAAGACCACAGAACCAGGGAGAAAGCGTTTCAGCTATGGATAAAAGGGGCTGCATGGGTGCGCAGGTTTGAGAACTTCTCGGGAGCAGTCCCCGGTTTTTTGCATTTTTCTTTCCCCATTTGCCTATGTGTCATAAATAAACCAAGATTGGAAAACTCCTTGGGATCTAGCCAGTTCTACCTGCATGCTTGCCACACGGGGAAACCCTTAGACTGGGACTCACGGAGGTTCCCACGCCTGCCTGCTGCCTCCTCCCTGCTCTCAGCTGCCACCGAAGTAGCCAGCACCATCTAGAGGCCTAGAATAGGGGAGCCCCACCTACCCACAGCAAAGATCCAAAATATGGTTTCATTCAGCATGTACTAAGATGGTGTTCTCACAATCAAGATAAAAAATGTACACTCAAATGCTGTAAATTCTAACATTACCAACTTACATATCTTAAGTTCAAAATGGGGTGATGTTTTGAAAGTTCTCTTAAAAATGAGATACAGAACAACATGTCAAATGCCTTAGGCTGATTTTATACTTCATCTCCATTCATTGCAAAACTTATTCCTGATTTCGAGAGTTTTTATAACATACTCTCAGTAAATGAGCAAGTCACATTTGATACCATGTGTAAAATCACAAAATTCTCTATTAAATCTAAGTCTCCAGTTCTGTTAGCGGCCACAACCCTGTAATAAAGGATTTGTTACCTTATCCCAAAAAGTGGTCAAATCCTGCACTTGCACTATCGTTTTACCGTCTGCTGGTAGCTCAGGGCTGCATCGTTTAATCTCATCAAGCAAGAGAAAGTTCTACAGAAAAGAAAAAAAACACAGATGGTTTAAACTGCAGGTACAAAATCACAATAAAAAATAACTGCTTTCCTGGAATTCGCAATATAAAACTTCACACAGGGTACATGTCATCTAATCAATTGCATTTAAATAGTTAGTTCATACCAGAACATATTATAAAATATAACACAGCTGACCCTTGAACAACATGGGTTTGAACTGTGCAGATCCATGAGATTTTTTTTTTTCAGTAAATACTGTAAAGTTATTTATTTTCTCATCCTTATGATTTTTCTCAATAACATTTTCTTTACCTTATGTTAGTTCAAGAATATAGCATATAATATACAAAATGTGCGTTAATCGACTGTCTACGTTACCAGGAAGGCTTCCAGCCAACAGGAGGTTACTAGTAGTTGAGTTTTGAGGGAGTCAAAGTTACGCACAGATTCTTAGACTGCACGAGGCAGGGGGGTCGGGGGTGTTGGCATCTCTAATCCCCATAATGTTCAAGGGTCAACTGTATATATTATAGCACAAATTTTATTTATTTTTTTATATATGTTTTTATTGATTTTAGAGAGAGAGGAAGGGAGACAGAGAGATAGAAACATTGATCGGTTGCCTCCTGCATGTCCCCTGCAGGTGATGGAGCCAGCAACCTGGGCATGTGCCCTGACTGGGAGCCCACCAGCCAGGCTTACAGCATAAATTTTATATACATTTATATTTCATAGTATATAGTATATATAATTATGTAATATACTGTATATAAATTATATATGTAGTATAGTGTTATATAATATATAGTAGTATATATTATATATTAGTATATATAACATAGTATATATTATATATCAGCAACATATAAATATTAGAGTTCATACCCACAAGGTTATCTTTGTAACTTTCTCAACAGCATATTAGTTCCCTTGGAGAGAAAACATGGCTCCCAACTTGAACATTTAGAACCTGGGCATTTTTATTGCCTTCCTTTTGCGTTACTAACAATAAACACACGAGTTGGTAGGAAATGATTCCATAAATATTTACTGAATCCCACCCTGTGCCAAGCCCGTGCGACATGCTAGGAACACAAAGACAGGAGGCCACTCCTGGGCCTTCGGGGCCTCAGGCTGGCGCAGGAGCACAGGCTGGGAACACGAGACCCAGAGCTGAGACCCCGAGTGAAGGCCCCCAGCTCTGCTGCTTGTTTGCTGTGACCTTCAGCTGGGCACTCTGTTTTTCTCCTGGTGCGTGTCAAATCAATACAGCACTGCCTGTCACTCACTCTCACTCCAGTCATCGTTCCCAAAAGAAAACATGCTTATTGACTTTCTCTCTTAAAAAATACTTCATAAGCATCTTTCGACAATCACTTGCCTTTTCTCCTTAGCTAATGCCCTCTCCCCGGCAACAGGAAGGGCTGTGTCTTCCAGGTCTTGCAATTTTCCGTACTAGTCAGGAGCTATTCAATACTATGCAGCTGAATAAAACAGTCCTGGTAGCCACTGCAAATCTAACATTACGACATGGAAAACTTCCTCTTGCTCTGCAAATGCTAGACATGAGATAAGCCACAATGGTGCAGAAACTGGATGAATAACTGAGACCACCCTCACCCCCCAAACCGAATCTTTGAATCTGTAGCAGACTGTTGGCTGTCCTCAAAGTCTGCTCTCGTTCCTCTGTGGCAACAAAGCCCCAATTTTTCGCTGGCCCTTGGTAGTCTAAGGAAGACCTCGCTCCCCAGACTCCCGTGCACCTAAGTGTGGCCATGTGACTAATTTTAGACCAGTGGAAAGTGACATCATCCAGAAACCTCTTCCCCCCACAGCCCGGGACGTGGAGGCTGTCAGCCTGCTCAAGGCCGCACGCAGCAGGGTGACAAGAAGAGTTTGGGTCCCTGGCACCATGAAGGATCCTACTAGCCAAGAACTCATCATGTGGTGAATTCTGTCACCCCAAAAAGTTATCTTGAAGTCCTAACCCAAGTTACCTTGAAATGTGGCTTTATTTGCCAACAGGGTCATTACAGAAGTAATTAATTAGGGTGTGGCTATGCTGGAGTACAGTGGGCTCCAAATACAATATGACTAGGATCCTTCTAAGAAGAGAAGAGAGACGCAGAGGCGGATGCACAGGCAGAGAACAGCCCCGTGACAGAGACTGGAGTGATGTGGTTACAGCCAAGGAATACCAAGGGTGTGCTGGCAACCACCAGAAAAGGCAAGGAAGGATTCTCCCCTCCAGACCTAAGGAACCGTGGCCCTGCTGACACCTTGATTTCGGACTTCTAGCCTCCAGAACCCTGAAACAACACTTTTGTGCTGTTATAAGCCACCCAGTGTGTGTTACTATGTTACCGCAGCCCTGGGAAACCAAGACAGAACCTTACAAGGACTTTTGCATGAGAGAAAAGAAAGTCCCTTATATAAGCAGCTTTTCTTTAATCCTCCCTGGAGGATATTTTTCCATTTGTCTTCAGATCGAGTGGGAGGGAGGGAGGGATGAAAGGAGGGAGAGAGAGAGAGAAGAACACCGATGTGAGAGAGACATCAACTGGTTGCCTCCCACATGACCCCGACCAGGGCTGGGGACCGAACCGCAACCAAGGCACATGCCCTTGGCCGGAATCAAACCCATGACTGGTCCGAGGGCCGACACGCTAACTGCTGACCCAAACCAGCCAGGGCATGTAAGCAGCTTTAACATGGATAATCTAGAAGCCACAGGCAAACTTAATCCCAACCAGTACAGGAAGCAACTGAAATAATCACGTGAAAGACAAAACAGCACATAAGTAAGTCACCTCTTACTCTCAAAGTTGTAAACAGCCCTAAATTCTTTTCTATCACTCCACAAAGCTACAAACGTGACTGTAATGTTCTACTTCAACAGACCAGCAAGTAAAAAATGGAGATGCAAACTGCGGTGTAGGCAAAGGGAAACGCGCCCTGTGCATTTCTTGCAAAGACCCAGCAAGCGTGAGACACCACCTGCGTCTTCGTTCTTCACTCATCACCCCTCCAGGCTCACTGAGAACCTGCTGAAGACTGGGCACCGCTACTCCGACTGCCAAGCCCAAGTCTAGCACGGAGGTCGAGTGGACAGACGCAGTCTGAGGACACCTTGATTTCTCTCTGCATCCCACCTCTCCCTAGTCGCCCAACCATCAACTCTTACCTATTCTGCCACAATCCATCACGCTCTCTTATTCTCCATTCCTCTTGAAACAACAGTAACTTCAGAATCTCACTCACTACCCATCGTTGAAAATACGTCTCCCTACACTGCCTGGTTCCTTCCCAGCAGTCTCCGCCACTGAACCCATCCAGAACACAGTCGCTCCCTACTGATCTCCTTACCACATCTCTGATTCTGTCCAACATGCTTAAAACCTTTTAGTGACCCAGCACACCTAAGTCCATGCTCCCAAAGTGGCCTCAGCCTTGATACCCTGAGTAATCATCCTACCCACCCTCCCCAGTTGAGCTCAAATACGAATCCTACTGGAAGCAGATCAGGATGGTCCCAATGGGCGCTGCTCCCCCGTCTCAGAATCTCCGCAGGGACTTTAAGTCCCGTAGAGGGCAGAGACTATGTCATCACACACTTGACAAACACAATCTCAACTCCAACTAACGCTGAGCCTCACACAGTCAGCATGTCACAGATATCTGCCAAAGGAATGCACAGAATATGTGGTTGGTTAAAATGAGTCAAACCACGGGGTGCACCGCTACAGCCTCACTCAGCTAACCCGCAACAAGTAAATGTGATTATGTTCAAGTCTCACCCAAACAGAATAAAATTCTGATATTAGCTTGAGCGTATGCCCAGCCCATAAAATTCAACAGTCAGTGTGTGCATATTAGAATAGAAATATCCTACCCTAAATAGGAATATATATGTACGAAGTGAGGGAGCAGTAGTAGTAAATCTATTGGGCATCTCTGTCCATAAAGAGGTCTGGGTGGAGAAAGACGCCGCAATCTTTCAGCTTGTCAAGGCACCAGAAGTACTAGGTGGACTTCTCTCTAGTGCTCGGGCTGATGAAACGCTGAAATTAAATTGCCATTAGAGCCATGAAGTGAGTACCCGGAACAGGCCACGCGGGAAAGCATGAGACGCTGGCCCTCAAGCCAAAAAGGGTGACTTCAGAGTGGTTGCTGGGCAAAACCCGAAGCAGCGTGGGGAATAACAAAACCTCAGAGGCAAGTGTTCCTGCTTGGAGAAGCCGCTGCAGACTTTCAGGGCTTGAAGTTAAAACAAGATCTTTTAGAACCCTACTGGATTCATTCAATGCCAAGACCATCAGGCTTCTCGCCTCACTAAAAAATAAATAAATAAAGTTCTTGAGCCTGTAACTTCATGATAAAGCCTTCATTGTCTGTACATGACAAGAAATTGAAAAGCATGTATAAAAAAGGCACTACACTATAAAGCCCACATGGAGGTGTGCCCAGTGGACGTGGGTCACAGCACCGTCACCAAGGTAGGAGAGCGTGGTGGAGTTTCTGCCGAACGTGATCTTACTGGAAGTCACTCAAGATGGCCCACACTACTGAGTCCCGGCGCTGCAGAAGACACGGTCACAGCAAGCTGCAAGAAGACAGTGTTTCCTAACTCTATGTGCCTGCGAAGCTTCTGGACCACGGACGGTCACCCCACCTCGCTCTGCCGACCTATCAGTGTGCTCAGCAGACCTTCCTGCCTCTCCAGCCACCAAATTCCCCTTCCAACTGCACTTTAACACAGTGAGAGGCAGGGAGGAGAGGAGAGTGAGCGCTGGATCAGCTCATCACACAGTCGCCCGCCTTGGCCGAGGTTTCCCTGTCCTTAGTTTTAGTTACCCGCAGTCAAATGCGGACCAAAATTTTTTAGTGGAAAATCCCAGAAATAAGCAATTCCGAAGTTTCCAAGTTCGCTCCATCCTGCCCAGGCCTTGAATGATCCCTTTGTCCGGCATACTGCCTCACTCCATCTCATCCCAGAGGCCCTGCCTCATCTCACAT